TGTGAATTATAGCGTATGTATCGCGACGTTGAGTGCATTCACACGAAGGCATCCGCATCTTCGCTGTGATCGCCGTTGCGTTCAATAAATTCATTGCCTTTCCTGAGGACTGAAGCGAACTCTAACCGCAAGCATAGAAATTACCAGAATATTCTGTATTAGATTCACAATTCAATACAGTATTACATCATATAGTTATCTATTCTTGTATTTTGTTGACAACAATAAAATACATGATAACAGATTGATGTATCAAATAAATTTCATAGTTATGGTGCAGTTAACGTAATCTTCACATAAAATGCATATCACATACATATCATGTACAGTACATATGATTAAAAATTATAATTTTATTAATAAAATTTCATATATTTTTGGACACATATCATGTTTTATTACTTAACAACGTTTACTGTTTTGACTGACAAACGTTTACAATATGTAATAAGTGTTTTAATCTTTTAGATAATTTCTATTTATTTTGAACATTAAATATAAAAATATTTTTCAAACTTTGCAATCAACATAATTATTATTTAAAATTCTGTAATAATAATAAATTTATAGACATATCCTATAAATAACTTAATAAATTATTTAGTAATTATAAATTTTATATCTAAGAAAAGTAGCAAATTTTGCATATAATCTCAAAACAGTGGCAAAATTGTAATAAATTGATAGAAACATAAATACTAATCCAATAGTAGGGATGCATTATTTGGTGGTCTCAACGGCGCTCTCCTTTTCGGCCAAATCGAGGATCACATCGAAAGAAAAGGGTTGGAAAGCATATCCGGCGCCCGAATAGAACTTACTGTTGAACTCAACCCAATGAAGACGGAGGGCGTGAAGGAATGCACTCAAACCCTCCATCACTAGAAGCACAGCCACTGTAAGCACAGCCCACGCGGCGAATATGACCACCATTATTACGCCATTCAGGGCAGCGATTGTCGTCACTTGAGACAAACCTATCTTCATAACCATATTCCAGAGCACTTCACTGAGCTGTGAGTGCGCCAGACTTAGTGCCCACAAACGCAGATAACTGGCCGTATGTGAGATCGATCCCAAACAGTACTCAATCGTGTGAATGGCCTGATTGATGATAGTGTCGCCCAATTCAAACTCGCCGCCGCCTCCGTGTCCATCCCGCCCTCCGTGTCCATCACCGCCACCGCTGTGCTCGTCCTCCACTATCAATACAGTGGTGTCACCGCCGGCTAGACTTTGACTCAGTAGTAGCTGGTATTGTCTGCGTTTGTGCTGTCGGTTCAAATACCAGGGCTTAATGGCCAGCATACAGGGTATGCACAGCACCGCCAGGATTAGTAGTATTGTCTGTATATTCTTCTGCTGCGGATACCATGTCTTGAGATATGTGGGAACATTCTTGTCGTTGTCGTCCGGGTATTTGAATAGAAACATAGATATGAGAGTAATGAGTACATTAGGCGCGGCGTTAGACGATCTGACGTTGTATTTGAACCATTTGACAATTATCATGGCATTCATGTACCCGAAGATACACAGCAAGAATATAACCTGAGGAATGAATTCAACCCATATATTAATGCTTCTTCTGAAGTACGTGTGATTCCAAAAGCTAAGGATAACTCCAAACAACATCTGAAGAACACCCAAAATGACCGATAATTTCATTTTATATGAGTTGAGGAATAGGATCTTGTTTTCGCTGATCTGCCAAATGGGGTCCATTCCGAACGGATAGGGATAACGGGTGTGCGTGTGGTTTAGCGGATCCAACAAAAGAGACTTATCATTAAATTTGCGCAAATCTGGATAAGTGACGTTCAATGGGAAGGGCAGTTGTGTCGGCGGCGGAGAGAAGTATTGGGAGCCAAATATATTCAGGGATTTGGCGAACACGTCGTTATACATGAAACCCGTGTATATGGAAAACATTCCCATCAATAGTATAATATATCTGCCGTTGAAAAACGTGAGCCAAATCTCGTTATTGGACTTCTGAGCGGCCAATTGGCGCTCTTTTAGGACCATCCATAGGGCGAACAGAAACATTATGATCCCGTGTCCGGCGTCGCCAAACATCACCGCAAACAGGAACGGGAAAGTGATGATAGTATACGGCGCCGGATTCACCTCCCGATAGTTGGCCACTCCGTACGCGTCCACAATGGCCTGGAAACCAGTGGTCAGTTTATTGGTCCGATTGAAAGTGGGAGGCGTTTCCTGCGTGTGAACTCGATTTAGTATAGAGGGAACCGCAGAACCACTTCTATCGGTTCCGATTCGCAACGCGTGTCGCACGGCGTCCAACCGGTCTGAAGGACACCAACACTCGGCTATCAGACACTTTTGGGTCGTATCGAAATTAAACATATTCATCGACGCGTAGATGGCTTTCATTTTCCTCACTTTTACGAACCAATTCTTCAGATTCTTCGCCGAAGCCAATAGTATGCGGTGTCTGTGTTCTGTGGTCTGAGTCAACACCGTATTGAGATCGTCGATACGAGTGCTCACATTGTCTAACATTATGCGCCGATCGGACACGTCTTCGGGACAGGGATAGAGAGTGGCGCGAAAGCCTTCGCATATTTTCTTGACTTTGGCCTTGAGTTGGTCGCCCTGAAAGAAGATGAGGAACACAGACTTGAGCACCAAATCGCCGTTCAACGGATCCTCAAGAGGTTTCTCGATCTCGCGCTGCCTTAAGAAGACGTTTCCGCGACACACTCTCCACAGCATGCGTTCAAATGTCATCAAACGATCTCTTTTGATAACTCCGGCCACAAAACCCAGTTTATCGGTCGAGTGACCCCTTCCTCCGCCGTCATCGATGGGCAGAATAGCTGCGGTGTCTTCGGCCAGCAATGAGTCGCGCCGTTGTCTGCCCTCAACGACGTCGAAGAAGTACTCGGTTTTGTTGAGTATATACTTCAACTCAATTAACTCATTGTATGTCTTCTTCAAGGCCTCGGCGTTTCTGTTCACGTCTTTCAACTCTGTCTCCAACTTCTCGAAAGTCGACTCCAATTCAATCATTTCCTTCGGTTGCGGCGCTTCCGGATTGTCTCCGGTGTCCAACACGTGAATCACTTCTTTGGCGATCTCTTTGTCGAGGAATCGGAGTTTCCTCTCCATCTCATCGCAGCGACGGATCTCATTGACAAACCGGCGCTGAAAGGCATTGATCTCTCCGTTCAGATCCTTAAACTCAACCAAACCTAATGCTCCCAACTCTGAGACACAGTTATACGTGGCCTCTGACTGCAGGAACAGTTGACATTTGGTCATCGGTTCCGACCTAAACAACGATCCCATTGTGTGTCCGCTCTGTTTGTCTGTCTTTGGCTTCAATATCACAAACGACTCGTTAAAGCACTTAAAACACAATATTTTACGTTTAAAAGACTGTATTCACAGAATTGAAGGCGAATTCCGCCCACTTTTTCACCACTTGTTTAAGTGTTTTTAGTTATGGATTAGTGTTAAGGCGTATAACCATTACAACCAATACAACCAATTGATACCATTTTTATCTATTAATTTTCAATCGCATACTAAATATTAAACAAAGCAATAGTTGTTTGTTTCAAATGTTAATAGAGATAATCACTAGTGATAGTCGTTTGGAGACCACAACACATGACTGACTGACTCTCTATGAAAACTATTTTGTATACATTTCTATGAAATACTGTATTAAGACATTCACGCAATTTGTTGACTGAATATTCCCGTGAAGTATATGTGGAGACTATATGTGGAGACACTGTTATCGATAGTGAAAGACAATTGATTTTTATTAATAGTCAGCAAAAAAGTTTTTTTTCAGATAAAAGGATAAAAACTTTTATTTTTCTTGCGTTGAGATCGTTATGAATACAATTATCCGATAATTATTGTCGTTAAACACCAAACATGTAATGTATTTGTTATGCAATTGTTTTCCATAGAGACATGTGTTTGAATTGAGTCCAACTCTTTCCACATGTATTGAAATTTTCAATTTCAAAATCTATTATATATTTGTAAAGCGTTTGAAACGACACTTAAAAACACATAAATTATTGTAATATTTATTGTATTTATTGTTACACTTCTGGCAAACTATCAAATGACAGGATTTGCTGTTAACGTAATGAAACACGTATTGAATTGTTTGACAAATCATTTAAATTTCATTTTCATTTGAAATGTCTGTCAAATTCACATAACTGTAGACTTCAATGAGTTTAACAATCATATCTCAGGTGTTATTATAATTAGATTAGTTTTAAACTAGTATTAATCATATTTGACATTATCATGACAGTAAATGATCAAGTTGAATTGACAATATAACAATATACATGTACCATAACATGCATGGATATTTATTATAATACAGTATTGCAGTGCCATTGAAACAAGTACTGGTGAAAAGCCACCAGAGGGTAGTGAGTAGACGGTATACTTACATTGTTGGGGTGTCTACTTGATTAATATTCTATGTCTATTTTAGGCACTTTGTTTGAATGACCAAGTACAGTACATCGTTGTATATTTTATATTGTTTTTGTTAAATAAAAGCACTTAACAAACACTCCATTCTATTAATAGTGGCCTAAATTTAGCATTTAATTTAGTAATGAATATGTATTTAGATAATGATAACCAATACTTGTCAGATAATTAAAGTAAGTTTACCGTATTTTCTCACGTAAAGTGCCCCACAATTATTTCCTAATGAAATATTCTTTGCTTTTTGCATAGAAAAACAGTAAAACTTTGATATCAATAAATTTAAATACACTTAATTTTATAATAAATATCATTAGATTGTAACTGTAAATAAATTTAATCGTTGAAATTATTTCAATAGTTTAAAAAATGTTTTACTAAAAAGATATTTAAAAAGATTAAATTTTTATAACAATTAATAAAATTAAAATTAAAGAAAATCTTTATTACATATTTTGTACATTTGATTAATTAATGTAAACGACATTTTATAGCCCATTATTAAAGAGTAATTTAAATGTTTTATATTTGATTTATAAGCAAAAAAAAATAATCAAGAAACAAAATTAAATATTTTTGTGCAAATTTTAATCACTTAATAAAATACTCTATAAAAAGCTAAGTCACTATAAGTACATTAGAAAACATATATTTTAATTGTTTAATTAA